GCGATGATGATGATGGTGATGATGATGATGCTGACGATGGTGTTGATGATGGTGTCCCGATGATGATGGTGATGATGATGATGGTGATGGTGATGGTGTCGATGATGATGGTGTCTCGATGATGATGATGACGATGTTGACGATGTTGTTGATGATGATGGTGATGATGGTGATGATGATGGTGATGATGGTGATGATGTTGATGATGGTGATGTTTCCGCTGATGATGATGGGGCCCCGATGATGATGATGTTGGTGTTCCTAATGATGATGGTGATGATATATTATTTGATGATGATGAAGATGATGATGATGGTGTCCCGATGATGATGATGATGATGGTGATGAGGTTGATGATGGTGCTGTTGATAATGATGGTGATGATGATGGTGTCCCGATGATGAAAATAATGATGATGACGACGATGGTGTCCCGATGATGATGATGATGTTGATGATGAGGATGATGATGAGGTGATGTTGATGACTTTTGATGACGTTGGCCCAATGATGGTGATGATAATGCTGATGTTGATGATGATGACACTGTCCCGATGATGTTGATGATGGTGATGGTGATGATGATTATGGTGAGGATGATGATGGTGTTCCGATGATGATGATGTTGATGATGGTGATGCTGCTAATGATGATGATGGTGTCCTAACGATGATGGTGATGATGATGACGATGTTGATGATGTTGTTCATGATCATGATGATGGTATGGTGATAGCGATGATGATGCTGGTGTCCCGATGATGCTGATGTTGATGATGGTGATGGTGACGATAATGGTGTCCCGGTAATGATGATAATGGTGATGGTGTTGACGCTGATGGTGACGAGGTGATGATGTTGATGTTGTCCCGATGTTGCTGCTGATGATGATGGTTATGTTGATGACGTTGATGACGATGATGTTGATGATGCTGATGACGATGATGTTGATTGTGATATCGATTGTGATATGGATTGTGAGATCGATAGTTCGTTCGAATGTGAGATCGATAGTGAGATCGATAGTGATATCGATTGTGGGATCGATTGTGAGATCGATCGTCAGATTGATTATGAGATCGATCGAATGAAATAGATCGAGTGATATCGATTGTGAGATCGATCGAGTGAGATCGATCGAGCGAGACAGATAGTGAGATCGATAGTGAGATCGATCGTGAGACCGATCGAGTGAGACGTTGATTCCTCCCCCCCGAACCTCCTTCTCACCCAAATGGTGGTCGTATAGGTGTGTATATATATATATCGAATCATCAGAGTGAGGGGCCCGAACGATCATTCATGCCCCCTGGGCGCGTGGCTGAAGTGGGTTCCGCGGTGCAGACTGATACTACGTGATTGTTGTTTGCATGGATCTAACATAACTTTGCACCTTTGTGCCGACGGGTTACTATGTGTGCAAAATTGACAGCATCTTCTTTATTGAGGGCGAGACTTGATCACAATGGGGTTCTTGCTTGAGTCTCCTGTTAGATGAAGGACCCGAACTACATACCTGTGCACCAGTTAGACGGATGGAGGTCGGCTCTTTTTCATAACGTGCTTCTCGCTTGACACATCCTTGATTGTGATAGTCCTAGCTCTTTGTATTCTGTATAGCTTCGTCTCATAACGGCGTTCTTGTCTATAGCAGTTCTATGGGGTTTGGTTCTTCAAGGGCTGTGCTCTGCAGAGAAAAGACATGTACGAGGGGCGACGGAGTGAGTTGGTGGTGTATTGCAAAATCGGCTAGATCCGTTATAGCCTCGCCATCCTCCAGCACTCGCTTCGTCTAGGCCTCAGGGATTCATGCGCTAGCTTACAGGTTCGAAGCGCGCGAAGTGGCCTCGAGTGCTGCCCAAGGTGGTGTACACTTTGGTTTTGCGGGTGGGCCCCCGATCTGCGACCCGAACTCCCCCCCTACGGGTCCAATCGACGTTGGGGTGTCGGACAACCTAGCTGGGGCTCATTTGGCCCGCAGGCATCGTTCGAGCGTTCGTGTTTCAGATATCCGACCTGCTGTGGCAGGCTCACATGCGGTTGCCTACCCTCAGCAGGGAAGAAACGCACCCAGACACACATAAATGTCGATTGCAAAGGAAAATCTGAGAAAATATAGGGAGTGGAGGGGAAGAGCACGATCTAGGAACGATGGAAACATATTGGAAATCCTGAAGTTTGTGTTTATTTATTTGCGTGTCCCTGGGCGCCTTCATCCTCGAGGGCAAATCCTCCCCGTTCACCCTACCCCGCGGCGGGGGCAGGAGCCTGCTGCGCCCCTGGCTCCAAGCTTGTGGTCACCGACATGGACAACATCGAGGCCCCAGATCGGGGAGGAGAGCCAGGGGGGGTCAGTCGCACGGGCCTCGAGTCGGGATAGATCCGTTCTAGAGCGTTCCGGAACGCTCTCAGAGCATCCCAGAGCGCTCTGGAATTGCTGCGGCGTCCGATGCATCTTCAAGAGCCGCCGATTCTCAGAGATGTCCGATTTATATCGGTTCGATTTTGTCTCGTTGTTGTCTTCGTCTGAGTCAGACAGAGGGAGGGGAACAAGAGACGGGACGTAGGGGGAGGGAGGGAGAAGGGGGGGGTTGTTTGTGATTGCGACGCTGATGAAGCCAAAGGCCTGTCAGCAAAAGATGGCGCCACAACTAGCAGCATTTCTGGTCCAACTAGAGAGTTCTGCGGGGACACCAAGTATGCAAGACCAGCACAGTGAACAGTTCAAAAGGTTTCGGGGCAAGGAAGCACAGCACAACAGTGGCGGCAAGACAGGCATCATTGGGCGATCTTGATGTGACGTTGGCGAGGTGTCCCTGACCCAAACAATGCAGCAGGGAGGGAGGGGGGATGCTGTGAGTCCGTCAGGCTGCGGCAGTGATGTGGGAGGGGATGAGGGAGGAAGTGAGGATGGGAGGAGGTGAGGGGGGGGGGAAGGGAGGAGGCGAGGGGAGGGGGGGAGGGGGGGATGGAGGGAGGTGTGTGTGTGTGTCGAGTGTCTTGACACCAGGCGTGCTCCTTCTGTCGGTGCTGCTGAGCCGTGGCCGGTCGCGCAATGGGTCTCAGAGTCGCCCTTCTACGCCTCCGCCTGGCACAGCCCCCAAACGTCAAGCGTGTCCAAGAGCGAGACGTCGAGGAGAATGTCCGTAATAAACTTCCGTGGTCATTCATCGAGTAGCGGATCAACTACAACATCGATTTACCCCAACATTGGCTTCCCCGTCGAATCTACGAACAAATGCCTAGAATGCTCCGTAGATCTATGGATCACTCCGCGTATCTGTTAGTGGGTTTGCCGGACGAGTCCAATGCGGGGTAAATCAAAGTCTGTGGTTGCTGGCTCCCCCACAGTGAGCGGCTTGAACAAGGAACACTTACTTTTCAAAAGGTGCTCGGTCGTTCCTTAGGTTTGCATGCGTTATTTACAGTTCCTTATGCGTTATTTGTTTTTTATCTTTCCTTGTGAGTTATTCCTTGGGATAGAAAAGGGGCTTCGTTCCTTATTCATCGTTCCTTAGGTCAGGCCGATGACTGTACTCGAGTTAACTCCTCTCGTGGGCAGGATCCTGCAGATCCAGCTCGAACCTCTGGGTAGGGGGTGCGTGGACGACGGGCACGGGCACTGGCCAGATTCTCAGCACTGGCACTGGTCAGGGCACTGGCCGCGGCCGCTCCAGAGCGTTCCGGAACGCTCTGAGAGCGCTCCGGAACGCTCTGGAGCGATTTATGCCGATCCTAGCCCTGTTTTAGGGTCGGCCTGCGGTAGGGAGCAGGAGGGACGAGCCCCTAACGTACGCCCGCCCTGGCTAAGCCAGGAGGGCGTATGCACGGCTCCTGGGCCCAGGATGGGCCTGGCCAGGAGCAGTGGATGCGTATAGATCTCCTCGCCCTGTGACAGCCCAGATTCGTGGATCCGGTGAGGGCAGAGAGCTACCCGTCGGTCGTTGAGGTATCTCTGGATTGCAGATCCCAATCTATTCTGGGGGCCTTCCTACTCCAGAAGTCTGGCGGTGGTCCCTCTTACTTTACTCTTCACAAGGGGCGGGCGGGAGCCCATTCTACTTTTCCCGCCTCCTACTCCATGTTGCTACCCATTTCTTCCGATCAGCGGTAACTCTCTGATTCTGGTCGGGCAAACAACTACAGTCGGGGTCTTGAAGACGGAACCTTTTTCGTTGGGAAGGGGCTCCGCGTTCCTTAAGTGTTTCACAGCTTGCCTCAGGTTTTCCTTATGTTTTCGATCGGAAATCGAAGGTTACCTTATGGAAGAAAGGGGCCTCGTTCCTTATTTAGGGTTCCTTAGGTCAACGCCCCGACTGTAGGAGATCAGCGCCACCCGAATGTATTTGCACATTTGCTTGCAGCGCGCGGCGGGCTCGCTGCGATGTCGCGTCCGGGGAGGGCGGTGCCGAGACAGCCGGCGCACGTCGATGGCGTGAGGTCAGCCCGAGACGCTAACAGCCACAGTTGCGTGTAACACGCAGCACATGGCGATGCCTCACACCCCGCCACGCAAGCACGAAGCAGAGGTGTCCAACTGTCGGGGGTAGACAGAACCCCCAACAGTGACACGTCGATTAGTGAATTGTCCGTTTTCGGTTCTCGAGAGGGCGCCGTGGCCGTTATTTGCCAGGCTCGCGCCCGCCAGGTTTGGGCCTCAGGTCGTTTTCACTAAACCACGTTTCACTAAAGGGGGGTGTGTCCATCCCCGGAACTATTGTCTCTCGCGCGTGGCGCGCCTCCCGCCGGGCAACTCGGGGTTTGGGGGACGGGGGCTGCCCGTGTGCTTTGGTGTGCCTCGTCGTTGCGTGGACTGGCGCCCTCAGGAGGAGCACGGGGTCTTGATAAGGATACGTCCCAAGGGGGCCGGGGCCGGGGCAACGGGCACGGCCACGGATGGGGCCGAGGCGTGGGTCGGGGGGTTGGGGCCTGGGTCCAAGGCCTGGGCCAGGCCCGGGACCAGGGCCAGCCCTCCGTCCACAGGCAGGACCACTCCCTGGGGCGCCGGGGGGCAGTGGTCAGACCCAGGACCGCCCCCCCGTCCGGGAAGGGAAAAGGGGATCGACTCATCTACGAGGTTGTTTCTCTCGGTTCGTTTCTCAATTCCCTTGGGACTGGCGACGGCGACGACGACGAAGACGACGACAGCGTCTCAGAGGAGTGAGAGGTCATGCGAATGATACGTTCCAAGATTTCCAAGGCTTCCAGGGTTCCCATATTTCCGAATGTCCCGCACCAACTGAACCGCTAGATACTCTGGAAATCCTGGAACGCATCCTGAGCCAATCGTATCATGACATCATTCTCGCCCTAATGGGTGTTGACCTTTTTGTCAAGGCACAGGAGCGCAGACGCTGTGGTCACGCCAGCCATGTCAGGACCTCGCAGGCCGCCTCGACGATGCAACCAGAGGCCACTGCAAAGCACAACCTCCTGCGCGGCCTTGGCCTCGGCCGCCGACGAGGAGTGATGACTCGGCCTGCTGGGACCTCCGCATGCGCCATCGCTGCTGGAGCCCCTGCGGGCACGACCATGCGCCATGCTTGCTGCTGGCAACGTCACAGCATCGGGGGCAACGCTAAGGGGGGATAGGCTCAGGGACGGATGCACTGAGCCCCAATCGCCCATGCATCGCCGATTGTGGCCCGATAGCCCACCTCGCCCAGGACCGTGCGGTGTCGCCATCGAGGGCCGGCGACGCATCGCCGATTCCAGGTCCATGTTCCCCCCCCCCCTCGAGCTGGTCCCCCAGTCGTTTTCGTGTCCTTTCTCGGACCTCCTGCGGCCGTTCGGGACGATCCGGGACCCCCCCCGAACGCTCTCGCCGAGGCGCAGGCGCTGGAGAGCATCCCAAGAGGCCAGAAGCCTGCCGAGGTGCGACGAGCACGCTGGAACAGGAAACCGAGGCGCAGGCGTTGGAGAGCATCCCAAAAGGCCGGAAACCCGCCGAGGTGCGACGAGCACGCTGGAACAGGAAACCTTGAGGCGGTCCGCCCCTGCAGCGCTGCTCGAATATGGCGAGGGCCCGGGGAAGGGGTAGCCGGCCGGTGATTGTGCCCCTGAAGTTCCAAAAATTACAGTGGAAACGCATGCCAAGACACACCCCGTTTGCCTCCAGGGTGCCCTGGGTTTCTTGGGCTTCGACGGGTTTGCCATGGACAGACGCGACGCTCCCGCACCACTGGACGTCCTGGGGTCCGAGGGGTGGGTTTCTTGTGGAAGGTCTCTCGTGGTCGAGCTCCCAACTGTTGTGGCCAGAGTCACCAGACCAAGTCCGCCGTAGCAGGTGCTTCTTCGGCTGGCGGCCGCTTCCGATTCGTGGATTGGGGCGGGGCGGGCGTCCACCGGCACGCATCACTAAGGAGCCCAGGTCCCACCGACACCAGCCTCGCCAACGCCCGCCCCCCCGCAGCATACAGTCAAGAACCCTAAGAAGGACGCGCGACTTTGCTCAGGGTACCCTTGCGTCCTTGCTCTTCCTTGCTCTTGCGCCCTTGAGGTTTTCGTCGTCCGCCGCCCCAAACATCCCAACTTCGGCTTCCAAGGGTCTTGCGTCCTTACCGCGCGTCTTTATTAGGGTTTTTGACTGTGTGCCTACCCTCCGGCGGCGCTGCAGGGCGCCGTCGGGCCAGAGGCCTTATATAGCGACGGTAGTCGGGCGGAGCCGCCGCCAAGGCGCGAGGGGCCCAGGGCAGGCTGTGGGGCCAGGGGCTCCGAGGTGCGCCGGCGGCGGCCACATGGGAAGAGACTTCGGGAGCCTCGAGACGGGGGTCAGTGCAAACGGGGGTCAGCCAGGGCACCGGATCCTGCAGGATCCTGCGAAGACCCCCTCTGGCTGACCGGGGTGAGCGAGCCGCTCGTGGCCGCGAGGCGGCCGCGCCTAGTGGCTGACCCGGGTTTGCGAGGACCTGCGTTGCAGTTTTTTTTCCTGCACTGTTTTTTTTTTTGGTTTTTCTGCTGACCCGGGTCTGGATTGACCCGGGTCAGAAGATCCCCGAAGAGCCAGGCAGTGACGAAGCGTCTTGGCCCGCCTTTGGGCCCACCGTAACATGTTCCATCAATCGTTTGTGGCTGGCACGGTATGCTCTTAAAACATTTCTGGTTGAGACTGTTTTGTTCTAATACATCGGGTGCACGGTCTGATAGCATTGTTGTTGTTGTTCTGACTTTTGGGGGTCTTAAGATTCCGTGGTAGGCCTGTGCGAATGCCGGGACGGTCGGTCTTTGCTTGAATTCGACAGGCTCATACCGTTGCCCCTGCCTCACTTTGCCTTCTGGGCTTCTTGGGATCATGGGCCCATTTCCCACCACCACTACCGTAGGTATGAAAGGGAGGAGGAGGACGACGAGGAGGACATCATCCTCCCTTCTACGCCGTCCTACATGTGGTAGTGGTGGTGGAACATTTGCCCATCATGGGATGCCCTCGTCGCCACGGCTGGATCCGCCTCGACGTGCTGGTCAGAACGCGCCCCGGGAAAGGTACGGGGAGCAGCGGTATCGGTGTCTTCTGGTTTCGATTCCAGGGGGGGCCCTGAACTTGGACGCCCGAAATGGGTACGGAAAGAATGGGTGCAGTGCAGTGCCCAACAGCAGTTCCTATTCATTCTGAACAGGACTCGCTGTCGGTGTCGCCGCGGCCTGTGTCCATTTGAGACAGAAGGCCGCCTGCCCAATAGGGGCCGCTGTTGGTTTGGGACAGCCTTTGTTGTTGGGCATGGTGCCCATTCTTTCCGTGCCCATTTCGGGCGTCCAAAGTATCTCAAACGACGCGAGGATCGGGACAACATCGGATCGGGATAACTCGAAATCTCTGAGAATCGGCGGGTCTGGAGCATGTATTGGGCGCCGCTGCCGCTCGCAGAGCGTTCCGGAACGCTCTGAGAGCGCTCCGGAACGCTCTGGAGCGATTTATCCCGATCCTAGCCCTGTTTTAGGGTCGGCCTGCGGTAGGGAGCAGGAGGGACGAGCCCCTAACGTACGCCCGCCCTGGCTAAGCCAGGAGGGCGTATGCACGGCTCCTGGGCCCCGGATGGGCCTGGCCAGGAGCAGTGGATGCGTATAGATCTCCTCGCCCTGTAACAGCCCAGATTCGTGGATCCGGTGAGGGCAGAGAGCTCGTCGGGCGTCCAATGTATCGGTATCTTCTGCTTTCGATTCCAGGGGGGGCCCTGAAGACGGAGAGAGGGTCTTGGTCTGCGGCGGGCTGGGTCCAACCAAAGGCGGCCAGTCTCCACCGGAGCGAGCGCTGCAGCCGCTGCGAGCGGAGGAGGAGGGGCCCCATACTTTCCTGGGCATCGACGTCTGTTTGCGTCGGTGTCTCTTTGTTTTATCCTCTGGGACAAGGAAGAGGAGACGATTGAGGACCCATGCCAAGAACCGCCATGAACTGCCTCCACAGACGAGAAAATAGAAATGGGGGGCCCTGCAAGCTTCAAGTCGGGCCTGTCCCCCTACAGGGGGCTAGTTTCGACGAGAAGTCCCCACACTATTTTTGGATTGTTTTTTTGGGTATTTTTAATCTTTCGCCGAAAATCCCCCTGTAGGGGGACAGGCCCGACTCAATGCAAGCTCGTGGAGACCTGCAGGATGTGCCCGGGAGCAGGCGCACGCTCACGACACGGAGGTCGAACGGCAAGAAACTGCGCAAGCATGGTTTCTCGGAGGTTCGCCCGTTGCCCCGTCCGTCGTGCCCCGTCCCACGCCTCTTCCTCTGTCGGTTCGCAAGAGCCGACAAGATGGTATGGGAGGCTCCCATAGGTTGCCACCGAACTATGGTCGAGAGTATCTTGGCGTGTATGAGATAGAAATGCAAGTGCACTTGGGGCATCTCTCCCCCAGTCGTCTTTCTCACACAGCGCAGAGACGAACACGCATGAGAGTTTCGACTTGCGTGAGCTCTTTCGCGTGCCACTCTGGGCTCCGAGATGTCGCACGCGAGGTGCTCTGGCCTGCTTCGCCCGAGACATTCCTGCAGCTCTGGGCTTATCTGGCCCGCATGGCTGATCTTGCCCGCTTCGCTGATTGGTAACGGTGCTTCCGCCTGAGCGTTGCCCACAGCTTCATGCTGGGACACTAATGGTCTTCATTTTGTAGGGCTTGTCCAGGTTGTCCATGGGGCTGTTCGGGGACTGTGTTTTATCCGCTCACCCATCGGTCGTTGAGAAAATAGGTATTTCTGGATTCTTGGATACCAATATACTTTGAGCGCCTTCCTACTTCAACGATCGAGTGGCTGCCCCTTTTCCGTCCTCTTGAGGGGACGCGTTGAAGCCCAGTCTTTTTGTCACCGCTCTCTTTTGTCATGCTCCTACCTGGTTCTTCCGACCGATGGGCATGGATAAGACACGGTCTGCTCTGCCCGCCGCGGCAGGTGTCGAACCTCAGCCGCCAGTTCCTCTTCCGCCAGTCCGACGTGGGCGCCGCCAAGAGCACCTCGGCCGCGCGCGTCGTCAAAGGCGGCCCGCCCGGCGGCCGCCCGCATCGACGCTGGCCCAGGACTAGCTTTGGCTGCACAGGGCGATGCACATGACTCACGCTCAGCTACCGTCCCCTCCCCTCCCTCCCGCTGCTGATCCTCCAGGCTAGTCCCTGTTTGATTCGCTCTTGCCGTGGCAGTCGACATCGTTGTCGCCCTTCTCTTCCTGGTCCCTCCCCATGGCTCTTCTGGTGAGAGGTGGGCTTGAAATGGGAGAATGTCAGCAGGAGGAAGGAGGAATGGAGGGGGGGAGGAGGGGTGGAGGAAGGAAGGATGGAGGGATGGAGGAAGGAGGGATGCAGGGGGCAAGGGCTTGAAATGGGCAAGGGGAGGAAGGAGGGATGGAGGGGGGAAGGGAGCAGGAGGAGGGCGGGCGGATGGACAGGGAGGGAAGGGGAAAACGGATGAAGGGAGAGGGGAAAGGTTGGAGAAGGATTGGCGAAGGATGGATGAGGGAGGGATACACGGCTGGAGGAGACGATGCGGTGGAAGAGAGGGAGGGGCAAGCAAGGAGGGAAGGGAGAATTGGAAGCATGCGGGGGCGAGGGAGGAAAAGAAGAACGGTGAGAGGTTGGGAGGGGGAGCTGGACGCCGAGGAATAGGAGGAAGAGGACGGAGGGCGGGGACCAGATGAGGGAGAGGTCGACGAGGAGCGGGAGGTGGAGGCGGCGGCGAGGGAGGAGGATGCGGAGGAGATGACGAGGGAGTGAGGCACGAGGAGGCACAGGAGGAGGAGGAGGACGGACGGACGGACGGACGGACGGAGCATGGTGATGAAGGGGTACATCGGAGAGGAAGACTGGGCGGAGCCCGCACGGGGCCTGCCTGCGAGGCTGGAACCCGGAGCTGCAGGTCGAGGCCCTGGAGAAGGGGGTCGGTGCGACGCCCTCAGCCGCGCCCGCAGCCCACCCCCTCCGGAGGACCGGAGGTGGATAGACCTCCTACCCTGACATGTCGATCAAGGAATTGGCCGTTTTCGGTTCGGGAGAGGGCGCCGCGGCCGTTATTTTTGTGGGTCCAGGTCCGTCGGTTTCGGTCCCAGGCCGTTTTCACTAAGAGGAGGTTTACTAAAGGGAGGTTTGACCCCCTCCGGAGGAGGCTTCCGGCCACGAGGAGCCTCGTTCGGAGCCTCGTTGCCGTGCCAGTGCTGCGCATGATTTCGATCATTCCCCGCATGATTTGCTGCAAGATGGCACGTATACATGCATGCATGTTCTGCGCTTTCCTGTAAAGCCGCCGGGGCTCGAAACTAGTAGGGACACTTTTTCCGTGAGCCAGAGTCATGCAGTATTGCAAAAATTGCGAATCCACAGCTTGAGAGCTCTTTGGTTTCATCGAGTCAGAGGAGGAAAAGGTACCGATACCGTTGCAGGGAGGCTGGACAAAAAGGGCTGGGGCTAGCCTTTCCACTCTTTTCCACCCCTGGCCAGCTTTCTCAGTGACCTCGTCTTCAATTTTTCGTGCTCGTTGCAGCCCCTGTGGTAATTACCTCTTGGTTTCTCATCGAGGAGAGGTAGTGGGAGGGAGGGATGAGTACGTACGACCACCACGGAATATCATCTTGGCGCGTTCGATATGGACAGGGGCTTGCGAGGGCACGCTGAGCAGGAGGGTATATTGGAATCCAGCGTTATGCTCCTCCTCTCTCCTCTGTCCTTTTCCTCCTTTGTGTCATCCCACACCCTCCTCCTCCTTCCATCACCTCCCTCTTCTTGTCCTCCCCTTCATAGGGTTTACGAAATCCCTTGACGCCTGGGCTGCGGATTCTCCGGTCCTTGAGAATTTCAACATCAAAAATGTTGAGGATCTGCGGGGGTCGGGATTCCTGGTCTCGGTTTGCCCATGCCCCGGCGCCTGAGAATTCCAAGTTGTTCAAATTCTGCATGCTCTTGAAATCCAGCACATTCTTGAGCGTTCCTTCTTTGAAATAGAGCTTCCCAATTTTCAATTTCTGTGGGTCTGGGGTGTGGGGGATTCTTGGTCGCCTGGGCTGCTGATTTCTCGTTCCCTGTAAAATCCTCGGCGTGTTGAGTTGCCTGCGCAGCCTGTCCCTGGAGTGTTTGGCGCGCCTGAGGTGATCACGCTATCTTCTGATGGATCGTTTTACCGTGATGAGAATGGCGAAGCTTCTGGATGGGGCTTCTGTGTCGCATGTGCTGGATGGCCCACACTTCGTGATTTCTGTGGCCGACGGTTTTGTCTCATTCTGACCCTTGCTTCGTGGGCGCATCGCACCACTCGAATAATGCAGGGGAACTGGCTGGCATTTATTCTGCACTATGCTGGATTTCAGAATTTGAGCGTACCCAAGGATCTTTGCTTGGGTTATCTGTTGTACTGGAGTATGACTCTGAGTATGCTGCTGACGTTGTTCGGCGCCGTGCCCGTCCTCGTCGCAATCTTACATTGGTTTTAAGAGCCCGACGTATCCTTGATCGCGTTCGCTCATTTCTTGACTGGGTGAAGGTCTCTTCGCACACAGTTCAGTTTCAGAATGAACGTGCGGACCAGCTTGCAGCTTGTGGCGCAGCTGGTATTGTTGTGCAGGTGGGCTCAGAGTCTCGCTGGGCTTTACTGTCTACCTGATTGTTTCCTTCGAGATCAAGCAGCCCTTGGTCATTTCCAATCACGCATTTGTGAATTAGTGGAAATTCGGAGTTCTGCGTTGATTTCTGGCATTGGCGCCGCGTTTGGCGCGCGTGCGCCAGGGGGAGGGGACCGCGCCGATCTCAGAATTCCGTGCAAATATCCGAACAGACGAAGACGAGGGGGCACGAGGTGGAAGAGGTGGCGGAGGAGAACCCCTCGAACAACTGCCGTCAGGTGACCTCGGAGGACTTCTTCGACGACGAGTTCTGGTCCACCAAAGACCTCTGCTGGAACGCCCTGGACAACGTCGTGGCGCGAAGGCGGCTCCCCACCCGATCGACCGGAGACGGAGAAGGAGGAGGACAACGAGGAGGAGCAGAAGGAGGAGGAGGGAGAAGGACGGGGATGGGAGTTAGGAATGAGGAAGTGGAGCGGAAGAAAGAGAGGGAGGGATGGAAGCGGAAAGAGGAGGGGAGCATGATAAGGAGGACAAGGGAGGAGGATGAGGAGGGGGAGGGGGAGAGGGAGGAGAAGACGGAAGTGAAGGGGCCGAGGAGGAGGCTGTGTGTGAGAGTGACAGCGGGGGGGAGAGGGGGGCAACAGCGGAGGAGGCATGGCAGCTGGATGAAGGTATCGGGGAAGAGGCGGAGAGGCGGCAGCTTATGGTGCGCCTTATCACGGTTTGGCCTTCTCATCGGCCGGCGTCCGTGCTGTGGCAGCGGCTGCGCGGCGGAGTGCCCGGGCGCCCTAAGCGCGCGGAGGTACACGGACCGCTGCTGTCTGTGGCACGGGCTGCCCCTGCTGGAGTCCGGGACGCTGGGCACCAAGTGCAACAGCGACGTCTTCTTGCCGGAGCGCGCGGGGTGGGGCCGCCTGAGGATGGCAGTGGCGAAGCGTCCTGGCGTGCCTATAGGCCTACCAAACCATGTTCTAAGAACCTCTTGTGGTCTCCACGAAATGTTCTTACAACATTTCTGGCTGGGACTGACTTGTTTTAACACACTGGGTTTCTTTTCTAAGAACATTGCTTCTGTTCTTAAAACATTTTTGGGTTCTAAGAATATGTCGTGGTCAGACTAGAGAAATGCCGGGACGGTCGGTCCCTGCTCAAGGGATGGGGCTGCCTGAGGAGGGCAGAACCACATTAGGGTTCGAGGGGATGAGAGTGGGCGGGCCTCGGGGCAATGTTAAGTTTCGAGGTTCGACGGGCTTTTCGAGTGTTGTCGTCAGCCTCGCGGTGTCTTCCAGCGTCACCGCCTCGCTGAGTGCGTTCCGGGGGTGCCCGGATCGTCCCGAACGGCCGCGTGAGGTCCGAGTTATGATTTGAAAACCACGCGAGGATACTCTGGATGGGGTATTCAATCAAGGGGGGCCGATTCACCTTCCGACTGAGCTTGCCCAATCCCGCCTCCCTCCATCTCTCTCCGCCTCCTCATCCTCCTCCTCGTCCTCCAACCCCCCCTGCACCCGTGCCGACAGCACGTGCCCAAAACCCCCCCAGCGGATCCAGGGGGGGGGGCGATCATTGCCCCCTACAAGGTATTCTCAGTGGGGGACGCATCGATCCTCACTCGCCCATTCGTCGCCGACCCCGGGGCCAGATCGCCCTCCCCCGCCCAGGAACGTGTGAACTCGGCAATGTTGGGGGGCCTGTCGCCGATCTGCCGGCGATGCATCGCCGACTCCAGGTCAGTGTTCCCCCCCCTGAGCTGGTCCCCCCTATCGCTTCCCTCACTGAAAAAAAAAACAAGAAGTCCACGGGAAGATTGGTGAGGCTTCAGGTTGCGCCCAGACCGTCTTGAGTTCCTGGCAACTCAATGTTTGTGGGCGCAAGCCTTCTTGAGAGCCTGGCGCCTCAATTTTAGTCGCACTGGGCGAGTCTGTCCTGTTTTGGGCCTGGGGGCACGGATCGATCCAGCTCGAAAAATGGTTGTGCAAGATTGGGTCCACAAAGCTCCCCGGTCGAGTTGTTTCGCGACCTAGCATTCTGGTCGCAACGCCGGATCTCAGGGGACCCTCCCAGGTAGTCCTGGCTTGCTGGCCTCAGCAGGCCCGCCGAGCAGCCTATGGGGCGGTCTCAATATCTCGGCGCCACCTCGCGCCCCGGGGTCGAAGGGTGTCGAGACCGCCCGAGACTGTTCGGGGGGCTTGTTCGGGCCCGTCGGGATTGCCTGGAGGGCCTACAGGCCGGTCGTTGAAAGTCGGTATTTTTCGATTCCCAGATCCCACTCTTCGTCAAGCGCCTTCCTAATTCAAGAATCGGCATGCGTCTGCTGTGTGTTGTTCTCTGAGAGGGTCTGAACCCAGTCTACTTTATCCGCTTTCCTACTTCATGTTTTTACCTACTTCTTCCGGCTGGCGTGTGAGACCTACCAAGGCAGATGGGGAGAAGATTTTTGGAATTTGCCGAAGGTTCGCCGTGAAGCACAGAGGTTCTGAGGGGAGCTTGTGCGGTCCTGAGGTCTTCGGCAGGCTTTGAGGGCCTCAGGGAGTTCCCCGCGGGCCCCGGGAGGACTCGGGACGAGACGCTGGTCCTGGGGGCAGGCCCCTGGGTCCAGGACCCTTTTCCCTCCGGACCCGCTGCTTCCAGGCCAAGGAGGTGTCGGCAGAGCTTCGGAGGTTCGCGGGGGTCTCGGTGAGATTGGCTGAGGCTCTCGGAGGTGTCCGGGCTTTCCGCAGGTCTCTGGAGGGTGCAAAGGGTCGGTGCTCTTGGGGTCGGGAGGGGGCATTCCCGCGTTCGAGCCTTCCCTGCCCTCTCAGAGCTCCCCTCTCCACAGTGCTGCTGCCGTCTGCTCCCCAAGGTCTCATTCCTTCCCCCTCCGCTCTCCATCCCTGTCCGCTGCTTGCTGTTGCCCTCCCTTTTCCATCTCCTCAGCCCCTCACAGCTAGTCCCATCTCCCTGCTCATCGGTCCCTCCTCGTCCCCCCTGCATCATTCCTCGTTCCTTGTTCTCTTGCAGCCGACCTCCTCCTGCCTCGTGTCCGAGGCGTTCGGACACTCTGCGTTCGCCTGGCGTTTCGTCGGTTGCTGACGGACCGATTTCGCGAGTCGCCTAATTGATTGAGGGGCAGGACCGTTTATGAGAAGGACGGTGGAGGGAGCGCAGGCAGGATGGTCAAGAGGGATGAGTAAGCGGGAGGAGGACGACATACGATGTAGCTTTTGAAGAGGACCTCCATATGTCCCTGGAGATTTCTGCACACTTCTGGGGACTTGGCGTAGCCAGGACCTGACCAAGAGCTACAACGACGGCGTGGAGACAGACGCTGGCGAGACACAGATCGCCATGTGCACCCTTCGTAGGATATCGCCCCTTCCTGCCTGCAGCGCGGCGTTTTGCCCGACGACCAGTGGATCCTCTTCTCTCCTCGCTTGAGCTACTTGTTCGGAGGGTCTTCTTGGTCTCTAGACCTCCAGATGCTTGTTACCCTGGACGGGCTCTTTGAAAAGTCCAATGCCGTGGGCAGGAGGGAGGACGAGGAAGGAGAGGGCGGAGGAGGAGAAGGAGGAGAAGGAGGAGGAGGAAGAGGAGGAGGAGGAGGAGGAGGAGGAGGACGTGTCGGGCCGAACGAAAAGGGGGGATAGGGAAAGGGGGAGTTACGAAATCTACTGCATGCAGCTATTTTCGGCCCCGCCGACAGACCCATGCCTCGATACATGGGCGACTCCCGGCGCCAGGAGGCGCCAGGACAGCCATCTACGTGAGCTGGTTCTCTACTTTACACGTCAGTTGTTGAAAAGAGGTATTTTTGGACTCCCAGATTCCAATCTATTTCTAGCCCCGTCCTACTTCAATAATCGATCTGCTTTTGATGTGTGTCGTCATTCTCTGGGCGGGCCTGAACCCAATCTGCTTTATCCGCCTTCCTACCTCATGCGTTCACCTACTTCCCACCGACCTGTACCCTGTGCTATCCTACCCTTGGGCCCCCCCCGGCGACCGTGGAGGGAGGAGAGGGACCAGGAGGCAGGAACCGACAGAGGGAGGCCCGCAGGGGCACATCGTCCAGTCGAGCCCTCGAGGGCTCGCCCCGCCCCCCCCCCGGGGTGCCCCTGGAGACCGCAGCAATATGCACGACTCCTCGGGGTGGGAGGGACGGGCCCCCGGGGTCTCCAGGGACCCATTACCAGCCTGGAACATATCCCTATCCCTAAGACTGTCATCGCCTTTTGGCGTGTCAATCTTAGGGATAGGGATACGTTCGAGGCTGGTTAACCCACGTCGGCGATGCAGAAGAGCGGACTCGCTTCCTTGCAGGCATCGACGCGTGAGTTGCCCGCGTCGGCTCGCGCGTAGGCGCCCTCGCTGCCGATGTGTGCCGCGCCGGCGGCCCGCGTGAGGCCGCGTAAGGTCGCCGCGTAAGGTCGCGCAAGCCGCCGCGTAAGGCCCGCGTGAGGCCCGCGTGAGGCCGCGTAAGCCGCCGCGTAAGGTCGCTGCGGCACTTCGCGTGAGGCCCGTGTTTTCGATCGTCGCCCACGTCGAGGTCGCGGGCCGAGCGCCTCCCCGTGCCGCTGGGGGCTCAGAGGACGGGCGTCCCGGCTCGCCTATAGGCCCACCAAAGAATGTTTTAAGAACTTGTTGTGGTTTGCACGAAATGTTCTTAGAACATTTCTGGCTGGGACTGTCTTGTTTTAACACATCGGGTTTCTGTATTAAGAGCATCGTCTTGTTCTAAGAACATTTCTGGGTTCTAAGAACATGTCGTTGTAGGCCTATAAGAATGCTGGAACGGACGGTCCCTGCTCAAACGAAGGTCGGCCAGAGAGCGGGATCTCGCAGGATCCTGCAGAGCCAGGGCTGTTTGAGCCGGGGCTGCGTGCAGGATCTTGCAGGATCCTGCAGGACCCTGCAGGATCCTGCAGCGCCTAACTGACCCGAGTCGGCGCGTCCCGAGCCGCGCTTGACTCTGCCCCGAGCGCGACATGGTTTACATGCCTTTGGTAACTTTGGGTCGAGCAGAAGGGCACTTGGTAAGAACGAGTGGATTCCTTTGGTAACTTTGGGTCGGGTAGAAGGGAACGCGACATGGGTGGCATGCCGCTGGAGAGGGCCCCACCGCCGGACGCGTTCCTCCGTGCATTGGCGCCTCTTGCGCCGGGAGGCGACGGGAAGACTACCTGCGTGAGCTGGTTCGTTGACCCCCCTTTGCCATCGCCCCCTTTCGTCCGACCCGAAACTCTCGTTCACATCCGCGCCCAGCTTCCCGTACCTGCCCCTGCACTGTATCGAGTTCGCGAAGCAGGCTTTCTTCTCGGACCAGATGGAGTTCGCCCCCCAGCAGTACGAGATGTTCCGCAAGGAGCGGGTGGCATTGCTGGGCAGCGCCGGGTTTGGAGCAGGAGGGGGAGGATTTAGAGGAGGACATTTGCTGTACGTGATACCCCACAAGTGAGCGACGCAGAAAAACCGGGGGTCGTTTACGCCGACATTGGCGCGTAAGCTGCCCGCGTAGGGGTGCGCGTGAGCGCCCCCCTTTGCAATACGGTGTGCCGCGCCAGCGCCCCGCGCAAGCCGCGGCGTGAGGTCGTCATGCCATCGTTATTTTCCAGGCCTGCGCCCGCCAGGTTTGGGCCTCAGACTCAGGTCGTTTTCACTAAACCACGTTTTGCTAAAGGGAGGTCTGTCCATCCCCGAGTCATACCATCTCGCATAAGGCCCGCGGCTGATCGTCGCCCAATTGCCGGTAGGATCGGAGGCCTAGAGGTTGACACCAACAACAGTGCCAGCGGTGTGCCGCGACCGAGGGAAGATAATCCCGATCCCGGCGACGGTGGTAACATTCGGGGGTTTTCGAGGCGGCCGGAAGATTACCACCAGCACCAAAGTCTAAGATCATTCTCCCCCGGTGGACGCGCCGCCCTGTTCTGGTGTTGGTGCCCATTTCCAAGCCTCCCATGAGAATCAAGTGTGAGGGGGCCGGGAGGAAGGGGAAGGGCAGGGGGAGCTGCAGCTGCGAGCAGCCGTCTCTTGAGGCCCCAGCGCGCCCTCGCAGCGAGCCCTCCCGGCGCGCCCTCCCCCGGAGCGCCGCCCTTGCTCCGGCCTCGCGCGCACAGGGAGCGTGTGAGAAAGTTTGGGCCCCAGCATGCTGATGAGAGGCAGTTCGAGTGCCGAAGGTACACGCCTGTCGTTGAAAGTAGGTATTTCAACATCCCCAGATCCCAATCTATTTCAAGCGCCTTCCTACTGCAAGAGTCGATCCGATTTTGCTGTGTGTTGTCATTCTCTGAGAGGGCATGAACCAAGTCTACTTTTATGCGCCTTTCTACTTCATGTTTCGACTCATTTCTTCCGACCGACGGGTAACCGTGGCGATCTCATGTTTAAGCGTGGCGGGCTGTAGCAGATTCTTCTGCGGAGCAGATCTGGGGCCAGCAGCAGGCATGTGTTTGTTCGGCCGCCGAGGGCTCAACCTATGGCGTAAGCAATACAGTCAACCCGCGTAGTAAGGATGGGCAGCCTTCCCAAGGGTACCCTTGCATCCTTGCCTCCTCGGTCCATCCTTTGCCACGTCTGTTGGCCGCGGCCCGCTCGAGAAGCTTCGAAATCGGCGTCCAAGGCCCTCGAATCCTGATCGCGCATCCTTCTGATACGGGCCGACTGTAGTGGTTTAGCTGTCTTATTCTCGGCCGCAGAGTGCGCAGCCTATTGCGCCACCAGGCCGTTGCATTCTCCGCCGTGGAGTGAGCAACCAAATTCAGGCGGTTGTATCCGCGATTGCCGGTAGGCATCTTCACGCCCGGCCGACGGGTTCGCAACCTATGGCGGTAAGCATGGCGCACCCGGTTGATGGCTCAATTTACGGGACAACAGTTTGATGGCGCACCCCATGGCGCACTTTCCAGTCACCGTGCGTCCAGCTAGAATGAGGCACGATGAATCAGGAACGAAGGGGCGTTTCTTATCACGGCGAGCCTCGGCTTCGAATTGGACCTCCGGCTTAGATCTGAAGAATCGCCCGAAAGCCAGATTTTCTCCTGAGCTCGAACAGGTTGTTTATTTCAGCGTCTTCACTGTTTGGCACATCCTGTGGATGGCGCCACCGATGGATCGCGCAACCGATGGGCGCAGCCCATGCATGACGCGCAACCCGTGGCGCAGCCCGTGCGGGGCACAACCCATGGACTGCACAGCACCTGGTGCAGCCCGTGTACCGCAGCCACTCGTGGCGCCGCCCGTGCACGACGCAGCCTGTGGCGCAACCCGTGGGACCTTGCAACCCACAGCAGGGCACGCGGTTGTCGCCCAGCGTCGAGCTGTGCCGGGATCGTCACGCGGATGTCCGTGACGGGGGGTCTCTGGGTATCATTTCTTCGCATGTCGCCTTCGTCTCAGGCCGTTCCTCGATGGCCCCAGGGCGCGGGTCGGGCCTCTCGACGGCCAGGGTCAAGAGACTTTTGGCCGTCTCGACGTGTTCACGGCGCCGAGTCTGAGGGTGCCCCTCCTTGCGCCCGCCCTTGGAGTTTTGATTCCCCATTGGCGCTGGTTTACTCGTGGTCGAACACGGGCGTAGTTCTGGCTGGTTCGGTTGAGTTCCGCTTGATCTGGCTAAAGCGGGTTTCATCCCGGGCTTCGCCCGGCATTATCCAGCCAGATGGGGTCCTGAATCGTGTCGCATAGCCTCGAATCGTCCTTCCGTATCCTGACCCCCCCCATGACCTTCTTGGTTGTTGGACCTTCGTTGCCTTGATACGCCCGATTTGAAATGCAACACATGCCGTGTTCAAAACTTCCGTGTTCACACGCTGCGCGCTGGCTCGACGTGAATGTGTTGGCCCACGTTCTGGCGAACGTACCGCGCCAGAAGTACGCTTGCAGTCTACGGGTTGAGTTGCGTATCCATGCGCTACGTGGTGCGTGTTGCGTGAAGGGGCAGCCAAGTGCAGGACCCGGCTGGCTTCTTCGAGCAGCTGGACGCGATGGGCGAGGCGGAGCAGTTCAAGGCGGGCTCCGGGGCGCTCCTCCCCGCTGGTTATCCAAAGGGGAGGCGCGGCGCGAGGCCTCGCGGGGGCTGCCGCGGGCCGCACCGCGCCACTGCCCGCGAGCTGCCCACCCCGCGGCGGCGTGCTCTGCGCCTCCTCCCCCTCAGCCCGCCATCCGATTTGCCCCCAGCCCATCCCGTGGAGCTGGGCCCTCGGTCTGAATCAGCAGCGCCCCGCGTTCCCTCCTCCTCCTAATTACGCCCCGCGTCTCCTCCTCCTCCTCCTCCTTCTCCACCTGCTCCTGGTCTCTCCTGGTCCTTCCTGTTCTCCTCTCCTCCTCCTCCTCCTCCGCCTGCTCCTCCTTCCTCGCTACCGGCGTTGGGTCTTCGCTTTGAGGATGCCGTACTTTAAAGTCGTGAGTGTTGCATGTGTGCCAGCACGTTGCTGGCCAACGGGTGCTTACGTGTCCAGCATGGAGGTGCGCACTGCCCGATGCCTGTGATCAAGGTGCCCGTCCCTCGCGGCGCCTCGCGGCCTGGGCGGCAGCTCCTTGCGCGGATACTGTGCTGTGCCGCGCGGCTCCGTGCTGTGCCACGTGACCGCTCGGTGGCGAAGACTGGACCCAGCACCCTCGCCGACCAACGGTTCAGGCAACTCGATGGGCGGCGGGGGTTAGGGTTCGGAATCCCACGGCCACGTGTCGAAATCCGAGCCCTACACCTCCCCCCCTGCCATTGATTGAGCAGGGGACCGCTCCCGACGGGGAGTCGACGTCAGGCCGCTCGCTCGCTGGCTCGATGACTGGTGGGGTAGGGTTGGTATGTTGCCACTTTGGGTTTCTGTAGTCCCAGACATCCGGAGTCTCGAAACAAAACCGAGACGTAGGTTTTTTTCGGAGGTGGATAGACATCCTACCCTGACACGTCGATTGAGGAATTGGCCGTTTTCGGTTCGCGAGAGGGCGTCGCGGCCGTCGTTTTTGCGGGTCCAGGTCCAGCGGTTTCGGTTCCAGGCCGTTTTCAATGAGGGGAAGTTTACTAAAGGGAGGTTTGTCCACCGCCGATGTTTAATCTTTCGGCCTCTTTGGGGCTCTTTCCAGGCCTCGGGACTGTCACAAAGCTACTCGGGATGAACATCGGGTCCCTGGGAAGCGGTCGAGAGGTGGTCGGGGGCCTGTGTCTCGAACAAATCGAGACGTCTGATGTTTGGGATTCTTGAAATGCCCAGTTAGGGAGCCCAGATGGGGGCCCCCATTGTTATGGTGTGAAGTTGTTTTGGGTCTTCTGCCGCAAGTGTGTCACGGTCTTTCCATGTTTGAAAGTCAAGTTTGCCGAAGGTCCTTATCCAAGAGGCCTACGCCATTCCGCCGACCCTCAGATGAGGATTTGTGCAGTATCCGATTCCGTATGCGTTGTTTGTTGTTTGCCATTGTGTTGTTTGTGTTTAGTTGTTGGTGGTGGAATGCTGTTCTTCCTCCAAGTCTGCTCCAGAGGCTTCTACTGCTGATTGGGTGGTTCCAGGCTTGTAATTGACTGAGGGGCCGCAAACGGTCCCTATGTTTGAAAGATCAAAGTACGGAAACCGTTCGAGGCCAATGCTGTTCGAAAGTTAAAGTTCAAAGTTGCGAGAATATTTGAGCCCAGAGAAAGTTTAGATAACACTAAGCGGCGAACTAGTTTCCTTATATCCAGAGCTCGTGTGATATTTTCGTGAACTCTAGAGTTGGTTTCGAACTCTTCCGAACTTGTTTCGAACTTGCTTTCCGAACTATCCCGAACTCTGAACATTTGTTCGCTCTGTTTTCTTACTTGTTTTCGAACGTTCTCCAAACTCTCTTAACACATGTGAGCTGGTTTCGGTTTCCCCATGAACCTTCGAACCTGTTTCGAACTCTTGCTCCCTGGGCTTCCGAACTCGAACTTCTAACGTTCCCCCCGCCCGCAACAAAGCCCTAACTCTTTACGTGTTTTCCAGAAAAGCCACCTGTCTCCCCCCTCATCAGCCAATTGCAGTACCAGGCTCGGGGCTGATTTCGTTGTTCCAGACGCACGCCTGGACCGTTCCGGTGCGTCCCCCCGCCCCGGGAGACAGACCCCTCTGGGAGACCCCTCTGGGAGATCCTCGGGCCGCTGAGGGAGGGCCCCAACCAGGGCCGCCCAAAGAAGGCGCCCCCCGGCTGCTGAAGGACGGCCCCACCGGGCCGCCCAAAGGAGGCCCCATGGAGCCGCCGAAAGAAGGCTCCTCTGGGCTGCCCATGGACAGCCCCACCAGGCTGCTTCTGGAAGGCCTCGTGGGGCTGCTTATAGAAACCTTTCTTGGAATGCTTGCGAAAGGCCCAATTTCCTGCTGCTCGTAGTTCGAGGGCCCGTTGGGCTGCTTAAGGAAGGCCTCATTGGGCTGGTGGAAAAAAGGTCTTCTTGGATGGAGGAGTGAGTGATTTTTTCATCTGGGAGCACCCCCAAATACAAGAGGCCAGGAGGCCTTCTCGGTGACAAGTGGTGGGGTATGCCCGAGCCTAAACATTAATCATCACGTTCCACCGGATCTTTTTTGGGGGACCTTCTCTTTCGGCTTGGGCCCCTACGAGCAGAATCTTGGGGGGTCACACATCGAAAATCACCCCAGAACCGTTCCAGAGTGGTTTTCCACCTGGGCCCCCCTCAGTACAGAAGGCCCACTCGGTGATGAGGGGGCGTACCCGAGCAGCAAAAACATGTCCCAAGTGGAATCTTTTATTTGGGACCTGTCTCGGATTGGGCCCACGCCAGAGTCTCCGGATGTCCCAATGGAAAATCGTCCCCAGAGCCGTTCCAGTGTGATTTTCTGTTTGGGACCCACTCCCAGTTCAGGAGGCCCTCTCCGAGATATGTGGAACGGTGTGTGCACGAAACCAAGTATGAGTCATTTTAGAAATCGATTATCTTACTGCAGAATCTCAGGGAGGCTGAAGGTGGAACATCCCCCCGGAACCGTTTCAGGGTGTTTTTCGATTTTGGACCCCCCCCCAGCACAGGAGGCCCTCTCGGGGATCAGTTGCGGGGTGTGCCCGAGCCTAAGGATGCGCAATTTCCAAATCGAACGTATTAATTGTTGGAGAGCCTCTCTCGTTTGGGCCCCCCGCCAGAATCTCGTGGGTTCCCAGATTGAAAATCACCCCAAGATCATTCCGGTATTCCTTCCCATTTGGCCCCCTCCCCAGTGCAGCAGGCCTTATCGGGGATAAGTGGAGGAGTTGTGTGCCCGAGCCCAAAAATTAATGATGTTCCCACTCGAACTTCGTATTGGAAATTCTATATCGTTGTTGGGGCTCCCGGCTGAATCTCGGGGAGGCCCCAGGACCGTGCCCAAGAATATGTAATGTTCTAAATCGAATTTCTTATTTAGAAGCGTTCACTCGGGGCAGTCCCCCCCAAGCTGAATCCCGAGAGAAGAAGCCAGGTGGAAAATCAGCTTGTGACGACTGCAGAGACGGCCTCTCAGAGCGGCCCAGATGGAAAATAACCCGCTTCAGGTTCCGAGAATCACCCCAGAACTGTTCCAGGGTGATTCTGACACCTGAAGCGTGTCGATGCCTCTTCTCGGGGGCCTCTTGCTTGGTGGGCGGCTTCTTGGGGCCTTTCCACGGGTACTGGGGGCCTTTCGGGGAGTTTTTGGGGGGGGCCTTTTGGGGGCATGTAATCTTCGGGGTCATCTTGTGAGTGGGGCCTTCTTGAGAGCCTTCTTGGGCGTTTCTTCTCTGGGTCCTCTTCTTGAGCCCTAGTGGGGCCTTCTTGAGGGCCTGATTGACCAGTTTGGACCGGTCTGAGGCACGTCACAGGTCGTGTCGGACTTTCAGAATGCGAAAGCCGTGACAAAAATTAGCTTGGCGAAGCACCCAAACATAGGCAGTTGTGAGGACCGCAGTTGTGGGTATCGTCTTCCATGGAGCTCCCTGTGTGGCCACGAAGCGCTGTACTGGGCGGGGAAGCGAAGATTCGGTGGGCGGGGAACCGCATGCGAACCCTGCTACCGGGGCCTTCGGTAGAGCTCCCTATGGGGCCACGAACCGTGTGAGGGGTGTGCCGAAATGGACGCGCGGTGGGCGGGGAACCGCATGCGAACCCTGCTGCTGGGGCCTTCGGTGGAGCTCCCTATGAGGCCACGGACCGTGTGAGGGGTGTGCCGAAATGGACCTAGGTTTGGCGGGAAACCGCATGGAAACCCTGCTGCGTGGGCCCTCGGTAGAGCTCCCTATGGGCCACGAACCGTGTAATGGGCAATGGGTGTGCCGAAATGGACGCGCGCTGGGCGGGGCATGCGAACTCTGTCACTGGGGCCTTCGGTGGAGCTCCCCATGAGGCCACGAACCGTGTGAGGGGTGTGCCGAGATGGACGCGCGGTGGGCGGGGAACCGCATGCGAACCCTGCTGCTGGGGCCTTCGGTAGAGCTCACTATGGGGCCACGGACCGTGTGAGGGGTGTGCCGAAGTGGACGCGCGGTGGGCGGGGAACCGCATGCGAACCCTGTCACTGGGGCCTTCTGTGGAGCTCCCCATGGGGCCACGAAACGTGTACGGGATTTCCCGAAATTGACCTGGGGTGGGCGGGGAACCGCATGCGAACCTTGTTGGCGGGGCCGGTGGAGCTCCCGATGGGGCCACGAACCGTGTGAGGGGTGTGCCGAAATGGACGAGCGGTGGGCGGGGAGCCGCATGCGAACCTTTCTGCCGGGGCCTTCGGTAGAGCTCCCTACGGGGCCACGAATCGCGTGAAGGTGTGCAGGATTGGGCGGGGAACGATGACGATGTTGGTGATGTTGACTGCCGTAATGGTGATGACGACAGTGATTACGATGAAGGTGACGAGTTTGATGATGTTGATGATGTGCTTGTGATGAGATGGTGATGATGATGATGATAATGATGGTGACGGTCACGGTCACGGTGATGGTGATGTTGATGGCGATGGTGATGGTGATGGTGATGATGTTGATGTTGATGATGATGATGATGATGATCATGATCATGATCATGTTCATGATC